TTCTTCTATTCTCCACGAGTGCCAACTTTGATTTGCCAATTGTACAACTTGCAAATTTCCATCGGGAGTGTTCTTATTTTTCGATTATCTATCCAGATCTGAGCTGATTTACATTTGAAATAACCAAGGAAATAACCACACATAAAAAATCCGGAAGATCATAACCGCTGGTATAATTTTATAAATCTTCATTTTTCTCATCAAAAATATACGGAAGCACCAGCCAAATCACTGCAAAACCGATACAGAAAACAATATATACCACGTGGATGATGATGCGGTGTATAAATTACTCGATAAATTAATCACGAAAGGTGAAAATATTTTCCTCTTCCTATAAGTCTTTTCAATGCACCACCAATGTAGAGTGCGCCGAGGAGTGCGCCAGATGAGTTCGAGAGGAAACGTTAACTAAATAGTTTGTTTACATCAGAATAAGGATTTCTCACAACGCAAATTACCGAGGGGGACGACTCTATCTACGATGCAGAAAATATTGTGTTTTGCTGTGGCTAGCTGCGCATACGCTGAGTAGATACCAAGAAGATTTATCACGATTTTGAAGATTTCCTGCAAAAAAAATGATGCGCGATGCAAGTAGATGCGAGAAATGAAAGAAGATTTTTCGAAGATTTATTCGGTAGTGTAAGATTTTTTGAGCATCTAGAATCGAGATTTAGATGTGTCGCCCCCCTCGCAAATTACAGCATTTTTCATTGAAAATCTTGCCAATTTCCATCAGTAATTGTCTAATTATACGATTTTTCACATATATCAAGCATCAAGCTGAAAAATGCCTTAGGTCCTAAGTAACATTGACAGATTCTCTTCGTCGACTTTCTCTTTGCATCCCCATGACCATGTAAAGACATTCCCAGGTATTTTAAGCACACAGATCGATAAAAGAAGCTTTTATCTAGCATCTAATACGACAAACACATCAAGAAACGGTTCTGTGCTCAAGTTATTAACGAAAGAGAAAGTCGACGAAGAGAATTGATCAATGTTACTTAGGACGAAGACAACAAATCAAGAAGACTGGCAACTCTTGCAATTTCTCATACGAACGCTATGAGACAGGTACAATCGTGTCATCTGCCGCTCAAAGGTAAATGCTTCGAACGAATTTGATAGCAAAGATTACATCCTCAGAAGAAGGGTTTGTGTATTTGCTAATTTTTCTATGCGTTGCTTCCACCTTCGCTCAAGTACAGCGCTACTGTAGCTGTCGCTTGGATTCTGGCAAAGTTGCCAGTCTTCTTGATTTGTTGTCTTCGCTTAGGACCTAATGCAATGTTCAGCTATTATGAACTAATTTGCACCTAAATTATTCACACACAAGAAATCCGGATGATCATAACCACTAAGGCACTGTTATAATTTTCATTTTTCTCAATAACAATATTGAAGAACACCAGCAACAATAACGCAAAAACGATACTGGATTAAATTTTTCAACTGTCGATCAAGTTTTCGAGCATCTAGATGAATACAAATTTGAACGTTTACACGTCAAACGACACAAACCAAACTTCAAATCTTATGTTACCTACCAGAAACTCAGCCAGATTGTGGCGGCCATAAGCGATCGTAAAATACTGGATACGCCGAAATTCTTGATTGCTGCCCCCGTGGATTAAATATTTACGGCAGAAAAAAACAGAGATATATAAAGTGGTAAAATTTTAATCATCGATGAGTATATGAAAGTTTTCGTGCAGAAATCAGCCATTTTTTGACATTAAATTAATGACATTAAACGAAATTTTCGTAAACTCTGCCACGAGGCTCATCTAAAATGTTTAATTTATGCACGCTAAAAAATTCTAATGAAGTTTTTATGATACATACACGCTAAGATGCACATACCTCAAATTTGGTAAAGAATACCTAAATAGAGATTGCTAAAGTATGATTGTGTCAGTGATTTGTTAATGGGCCACCTTCAATAGACCCGGATCTGACGCGTTGTGGCAAAGTAGTTTTAAAGTAGTTGTAGTTTTAAAAGTGCAGATTTTCAAATTTGAAAATTGTTTAAGTGTCAAAATTACTTTTCATGTGTTGTCCAGGTCAAATAATCAGAAAATACACTTTATTGAAGCAGGCCGTAGGCTCAAAACTGTAAAATTTATTTATTAAACACAATGAATTTAACGGTAATTATTCCACTTACATCAATGATCTTCTTATCGTGGCTCTTTGACCTGGCAAATTCAGTTGATCAGCTTTGCTGTAGTCTAAACAATGAAATTGCAATGTTTAATAATTTATAAAGATAAGTTTAACATTACTTACGAATTTTTACAATTACAATTTATTGAAATTCACTAAATAAACAAAGTTTTCAAAAATGTTTGTGCTCCTACTAATTTAACTATCTCGAAATTCTGTATATACTTTTAGACGTCACTTTTGCTAATATTCATCCTCCTCGATTGACACCTGTCACGGCCACGCCATGACGTTTGTCCTTATCCTCACTTATCGACAGGCCCGTCAGTGAACCCACTGGTGTTGTGCCCAACGGTGGTGGCAACATGTGTTGATTTCTACTCATTTATGGGTAGTTTTAGTATAGCGTGAGCAAACAAAAATAAAAACGTGCAAAACGGGAGCTACATAAACTTCAGTTTTTTTAAACTTGTCCTAAGTAGAAAGTGTTGGTGTCGATTTGGTCTGTAACGCTGTAACTGCTCTCAAATTAGAACCCATGTACTTCTGCACTGGCCAGCGTTGCCAGATATATCGATTTATCGGTATTTATACTGATTTCCGAACTAGAATACCGATATACAGATAAGGTTCCTCAGAATACCGATTTTTGAGATCTATACCGATTTAAACCGATTTGCTTAAAAAATCGAAATTATTATCAACAATCAATACGAAACTAACGATTTTAAATTGGCTCACTTCATGACTAGCCTATTGGTCCCAAGCAAACGATTAACGTACCCCATTCTAGTCGAAATTCTAGTACTACGCAATGTTTGTTTTGATTTGCTATGAAAGTTTGACAGATAAAATGAGGGGTTATTGGTTTTTCCTATATGTTTCGAGGGGTGAATCGTTTAGCTTGGGACCGAAGAGAGTACCAGAGCTGAGCCAAAAAGTTGAGCGCGTTATTTCGGGAGCTTCTAGTCTTAGAGTTACCTCTATGTTATTATTGCCTGCCTGCGCTCGAATTTAAGAGAAAATTATTGTGAGAGACTTGTATTTTTTAGAACATCTAAAATGATTTGAGCCTTCAAAATTAAAAAAAAATCATCTCTGAAAATGTATTATGCTTAATAATCTTTCGACTAATCTTTCCATTTTTTCACCGTTTTTGGCTACCCATGAATCGAGAAACAGTCGATAGTTCTTCCGGTAAATTTTAGGGAAATACTTTTCAAAAATTGGTTAACTTCCTGAAGCCTGAATTTTCGTCCAACTTGCCGCTTGAATTTTCGTCCACCTTACACCGTAAATTATTTTTTTTTATTCCACCCGGAAACTTATTTCGACTTCCTTTGGAAGCTTCTTGAGCCTTCATTCGAATGATTCTTCTATTTTTCCTGGAACTTCAGGGATGCTTAATGTGGATCCACACTGAAACATCAGAAAAGTGCAGACTTTTGAGTAATTTTAAAGACGATTTCATTAAATTCTGCTAAAATTCTAAAACTCGGCAATTTCAGGAAAGTTCAGCAAACTCCAGTGAACTAAAGGAAACTTCACAAGTCCAAAGAACTTCTAGGAAATTTATTAGCATGCAGGACAGCTTCATTTGTTTCAGGAGAATTGAGAGAAATTTAGGGAAGCTCCGAGAACATCAGGATAGATCAATTAATTTCATTTTATGAATATAAGGAAAATCTTCTGGACCATTAGAACATCCCCCAGGCATCTTTTCTTCCAGAATTATGTCCTTGCTTCTTTCGACTGTTCCGTAACCGCTCAAACTTCCTCCAGGAGAGCTTCTTTCTTCTTTCTCTGGATGTTTTGTTCAGCTATACCTCCAGAAGCTAATTCAAACATTCCCCAGAGTTTTCTTCCGGAACTGTCCGATCATAGTCCAAAAGCTTGCTTTCATCTTAGTGTAAATCGCACATATTCACCATTTTCTGAAAAATGCACGTGCGCAGAAGGTAACCTCTCCATGTGAGTGCAAACTTGTTAAGAATAATTTTCCATGAAAACACCACCGATCCATACCGAAATAATAACAATTAGGTTTCAAACACGTTTTCTTACGATATATAAGCAAACGTTTCAACGGAAAATTATTAGTTTATCTTTATGAATCGATTTGCCCAGAAAATCGTCTGTTTTACTTATAGAATTTGAAAGCTGTCCTGTTTCTAAGTAGTAGTTCTCTCTTCGAAATGTAGATGGCGAAAGCTCGGAAAAGTTTCACTGCAATAGATCAATCCGAAATTGGGTTTTTAATTTCGAAAAACATACCGGTTTATATTGATCTTCTGAAAGAGCTTCGTTTTCTAAGCACAACAATATTTTTATCGATCCCTTAGACATTGATTTCGATTCTTAAATCAAGATTTTTCTTTAATTTTTCAAAATAAATCCATAAGTTGACAGCTCGTTCCAATACAAAGTCCCATCGAGGGGTGCTAAGATGGAGATTTTTTTTCTAATGTAATAGCTCTTATATAAAATAGTTACAGTACAGTGCTCCTAAATTGATGAAATTTCGGATTACGGTTCCAATTTTAATGCAGATTACGAATATGTACTTACCTCAATACCCCTAACCAACCAAATTGACAAAGTTGGAACATGACAAAATGAACACAATTTTTGTCGGATTCATGTAGTTGCTGTACATTCGTTATCTTTGTCCAAGTTTACTCAATTTTGGGTAGCCGTACTTTTGACAATATGTGTAGATCCTACTCTAATTTGGGTTGTTTAGAAATAGCGTGAAAGATAGAAACGCTACGGGGTTCATCGCAGTTTACTTCACACTCGTCTAAACTGTAAACTCGTCTAATCATAAGGAGCTTGCAGCGCACTCTACAGCCGATTTCGCTCTCTTTGATCGAAATTTGTCAGAATTTTCACATGTGCGTTTCCATTTGGTCAATCATAAAAGTGTTGAAATTGTGCTAATAAAGGGCCTTTTCTTTGTCTGATTATAGTGAAAAGCATCTCCCAACGACAATGAATGCGGAAAAATTGAAGAAACTGCAGGCTGAGGTCCGCATTGGTGGCAAGGGCATGCCCCGTCGCAAGAAGAAGATTGTGCACACAAATTCCGCTGTGGATGACAAAAAGCTGCAGCTGTCGCTGAAGAAGCTTGGCGTGAACACCATCCCCGGAATCGAGGAGGTTAACATGATCAAGAACGACGGAACGGTTATTCACTTCAACAACCCGAAGACTCAGGCTTCGCTAGCTACCAACACATTCGCCATCACCGGTCACAGTGAATCGAAGCAGATCACGGACATGCTTCCGAGTATCATTTCCCAGCTGGGACCGGAAGGACTCAACCAGCTGAAGAAGTTGGCGAGTGCAGCCGTAGCAGAGGATGACGATGATGTACCGGAGTTGACCGAAAACTTTGAGGAAGCCTCCAAGCAGGAGGTTGAAAATATTACACAGAAGGTGCAGGAGATTCCGGTTTCTTAAATTGACTCCCTCCCTCTAGCTACTGCGCGCCTCTTCGCTCCGTTTCAACAATATTAGTCGTTCCCATCCCCATAACAAAAGATAAGGATGTGTTTTTTTTTCTTTGTGCGTGCTGGTTCAGCGCTGAAAATTTCTGCTCGACAAAAAAGTACACATCTCTGCAAGTCCGTCATCATCAGCATTCAAGGTTGGATTCGTTTCAATCGATCAGCAGGTAGCATTTTCCATCCCATTTTCCGTGTGCCATCCGGGCCAAGCGAACGGCAGACGAAAACCTTCACTCTCATGGAGCTCGGGCGCCAGTCGAGTGGTGGTGGTTTCTTCTCGTCGCCGAATGAAAATGGGAAAATCAATAGCATAAAACCAACTACAACACTCTGTGACTTGTAAATAACAAAGAGTAAAACTGAACAAGCATAAAACAGTGGAATAACAACAGCAAGAAGCAGATGAAAAACTTCGTTATAAAACACATTTTAATAAACAAAAATTGAATAAAGAGTAGATTTAAGGAAACATAAGGAATCCAAAAGAATAAACCGTTTCGTGTTTATTTTCGTAAATGTTTTTTTTTCGAAACTCCATTTCCTATTAGATTTGTTTACGATGTTAGCTACATTTATTGCAGTTTGTCGAAAATGAATTAGTCAGCCATTGAATAGTGTATGCTAGTGGCAAGTTTATACACCCGAACTCATACATGTATGCACAATATGGGGGACGGTGCTGAGGAATATTTATGTAGTGCAAAGTACGTCGTCATTCTGCAGTCATGCACGGGTGTGTGTGAAGCGAACAGCGACATCCAGAAAGAAGGTTGAAGGCCATGAACCGATGACCATTAGAGAGCCTCTTTACCATAAAACCGCTATTTCCGCTGGTTGAACATATTGAAACCACACGGCACTACAAGTCAGGCCATAGGCGAGATGGACCAAACAGATCTGTAAAGATAGTTGCAAAGGAAAAAAAAAGTCTTGCCATTATGTTATAATAATTTTATCAGTTGCTATGCATTAGTGGCTTGAGTATTAATTTATTTTGTGCATAACATATGTTGTGCATAACATATGTACATATGTACATATGTACAATAAAATAACAGATGGCAAGCAGCGTCATGCATGTGCCATAAACCATTCGACATCAAACATAAATAGGAAAATGGTTGATGACCTTGTTATCAGTCGATGCCTCTATCATCTTTTATTGCATTGCATTCTAATTGGAAGTATAATTTGTACCTGGTTACATACACAAACATACAAATTAATGTCCCTATTCTGCGAGTCGTGTGACTTTCTGTCACTCGTGAAATGACAAAAGTTACGTTGTGTGGCGTGTTACTGGTGTTATAGAGATTTCTACTTAGAATGTGATTGTATCAGTGATTTGTTTTCATCAGGAAAATTTTCCGCAATGATTTTTTTTTTCCTTGATGAAAACATTTTGCGTATACGTGATGAATCAATTTATCAGGAAAAGTAAAAAAGTGTTCCGCTTCCTATGTCTCAAGGCAACAATTTATGCTCACAACACTCTTTTTGACGTTCTCCTATACACCAACAGAGGTTGAATCGATCGTTTAGTTTCTATTAAAAAGGCCTATTGGCAAATCAAAGTTGGCACTCGTGGAGAATAGATGAACTATGAAAGTGATGATAGTTTCAAAATTTTACACGGTGAGGTATACGAGTTCAATCTTAAAATGCCTTTATTTTGCAAATGGAGCATTTTATTTAAATCTGGTTAATGCTACGTTAGGAGAAAACTTAAGGACTACTCAATAGATATATAATATAGAAAAAATAATTTCTTTTCAGATTTTTAGGTGTATGCATAGATTTCAGCTTTTCTACAACTGTAGCAACAACCAGATTTAAATACAATGCTCCATTTTTTAAATAAAAGCATTTTAAGATTGCACTCGTATAGCTCTCCGTGGAAAATTTTTAAAACCATCATCACTTTTATAGTTCGTCTATTCTCCACGAGTGCCAACTTTGATTTGCCAATAGGTGGTTAGGCACTTCTTATGGTTATTTTATATGCGGGAGAGTCACACGACTCTCAGAATAGTAGGGGGGAATGACAGCTAAATTGAAATCTTGTCAGGATGAAACGAGAGCTTTACGGTCGAGCTTTCATTCGTGCATATCGATGCATGCGCAGTTACTTTTTATTTGATATCATAATGAATTTTGTTTAACGATGATAAATCAAACTTTAAATTTGTAATCAAATAGCACCTGTCGTGACCCCTCCTCAACAACTTAGATAGGTATTTGGAACAAAATAATATGAATATTATTTGACGGATAAACGGCATCTCTCAAATCAGAGCTTTTTAAATCTTCTAGTACTTCATCATAGGAGAATGAGCATCATCAACGGAGTCATGATACACATACACTGCATCACATTGGCCTGTAAACATAAACAACAGCATAAATATTAAATAAACATAGGTGAAACTCTAGTTCCTCGCAGTTATGAGCGAAAATTCAAGCAAATCCAGTTCCTGTTCTCGTCCTCCAAGACCGCTACTAAGGTAAGGCTTAAACCCTTTGTTTTTTCAAAGAAACCTATAGAACTAGATTTTTGTGATTTGCAGTGGCCGAGACATGTTGCAACACCACGTTGGGAATTACGATTTCCACACCCGAATTCATCGGCTGACCCGATCGGAAGATGAAGCCGAACATCAAGATCACATTTCTAAGATTAGAGGTAAGTACTCAACTACTATAATTTTGTTAAGCATAGTGACGTAAGGAAGTTTTTACAATAATGTTTAGATGACTTTCGGCGAATCCTTGAGCAGCAGCGTGTCGGTAAAGCAGAAACATATTCCGAAGGCGAATGGGACAACAATAGAAAGCGCGTTAGTATTCGCAGAGCCGTAGGGAAGTGGCATATCTACGGTTACCTAGAGGACAAGATCCGCTACCTGGATGGGTATGAAGCTCTGCATCTGTTGGAAATGGTAAGCGACTGAAGGACGTACTTTGCAGCGAGCTAAATGTGTTGCTTTAATTTTCAGAACAGATTAATTGTCTATTGGGATACGGTTGTAATCTCCTTGCAACAGGCATATGGCCTATTTCTCGGTTACCCAGAATCGCTAACCTTGGAACAATACCAGGTTTACAGTATACTGATGAGAGCTGGCTACTATGTGTTAAAGTGCGATTCCAATCGGAAGTATCAAGCCGTGGATAGCTCTCTGGAGAGGAAGCTGAGTGTAGAGGAGAAATGTGTTTGGCAGAACTTATACCATATTCTGAGGCAGCCACATCCGCTGGTGGAGGAAGTAGAACTAGACTTGAACGCCGCTATGCATAATAAAGTACGAGAATCGATGCAGAATTTAAATTCCACAATCACAATGCAGCAAGAACCAAGACCAACTGACGAAGAACACACGATGGCTGAATACAATTCAGAGAAACGCAACCGTTCTGATTCAGACCATGATGAGGATCATCGAAAGCGGGTTAAAACCAACGATTCACTTTCCAAAAAAGAGACTGATAAAAAATCAAGACTTGATAGCTTTATCGATCTGTTTGCCAGTTTTGACGTAGTGAAAAGTGCAATTGGTACAACTCCACCAGTTGATGAAGACCAAACAACGTTGAGGCTTCATTTTGATGTGTTCCCCAGTGACGGTTCAGTTTTCCGGAAAAGTCAACCTGTAATTCCCGAATATCGCATAATCGTACGGCTGTAAGTATGATGCTTTCTCGCGAATGCCTTAAATCAACAACAATTACCATTCAATTTTAATTAAAATTAGATCCAATGAACCGCTTTTGACGGCCAAAGACATTGCAGTGCTATACCAGCGGCAACCAAAACCGGAAGTGCCTATTCTGCTGATGCAGGTAGCCGAAACGCTGTCGATTCACTGCTTCCTATACAGTTTCTATCGTTTGCCGGGGAATTTGATAACCACTGCAGCAGCTTGTACCCACCAAAGTCGGGTGGACCGAAGCAAAGAAGAGGAAGCCGTTTGCGATAGCTCGGATGACGATTAACCTCACGGTAAGTGCAGATTGTTGGAAATGTTTAACGTTTGAATAGATTTTATCATGCGGGGCTGTAAACGCCTACGAGACCTCTTTGTTTTCCGAAATCTCCTAAAAAGTCTGGTAGTCGTTACTTTTGGGTTATAATTTTGCATGCAATGATATGGGAAAAGGGGGAAGTCGTTCTAGGGGTTGTTTGGGGCATGTGATTCATTTTAGACATTAAAGTTTGACGTGATCACCATGTTCCACTCATGTTCTGGAATGTGAACTTGAGACTTAAGATTTTGCCTTCTGTCTCGCAAAATCTAAATCAAAATCAAAAATATAGTTCTTTTCAGAATCTCTCAGGGATTCCCGAGGGGGGGCGACACATTTAAATCTCAATTACTATTTACATCTATTTACAAAAAAAAACATTTCACACATGTAGATCTATCTTCTCGCATCGAGCTCTATCTTTTTGCACGAAATATACAAAATCTTCTTAAATCTTCTTTTTATCTACTTTTCGCACACGCATCTCATGACAGCCAAGCAACATCTTCCCTTCATATTAGATTAAGTCTACCTCCTTGGGGATTCCCTAGAAATTTTCTTAATACAACAGTCCTGAAATCCTCCGCAGAAGAATTCCTTATGAAAAGGAATTTTTGGAGAAAGTTGTCAAAACAAATGTATAAGTATTGATTGGAAAAGATCATTATGTGTTTGAAAAAGATGGAGCTCCCTCTCACACAGCAAGCTCGTTCAGAGGTGATGCAGAAATAATTCGACCAACTTTTTGGCCAAAGATAAATGGCCTCCCAGTTCACCAGATCTGAATCTCTTGGATTATTTTATGTGGTCGAAAGTAAACGAGCACAGGGTCTAACTTGATCTGATTCAAAGCTTTAATTTATTTATTTATTTGCTCACCATCTTCAACTACGTCGTACAGACTGATTACTTAAAACCTAATTTAATCTAAACCCCTTATTCTAGCACTAAACACATGTTTGGTCAGAATAAAATCAAACTCGCTACAAACATCATTAAAGGAACGCAAACAAGAATTAAAACAACTATTGCATCCAAAATTCGTTCTGTGAAATGGAATTGCAAGCAACCGGGAATTACGGAATCGTCGAGGAGGAGTATACCACGGAATCAGTTCCAGGAGTTCGGGACAGTCCACGTTGCCTGTTATGAGGTCGAAGATGAACGAAGAGAGGGATTCCAAATCAATCAGTTTGCATCGGTCGGGATAACATGGAAGATTAATTGGATCATTTCAGGGGAACTGACGCGAGGCAAACCTTATAAAACTTTTCTGAATCCTTTTAACCGCAAGGATATGCGTAACGTAAAATGGAGACCAAACCGGGGAAGCATATTCTAAAATGCTGCGAACTATACAGAATAGCGTCTTGAGACAAAAAAAACATCGGTGAAACCAGAAGCATGACGACGAATAAAACCAAGCACAGTATATGCTTTAGCAGTTACGATGTTTATGTGTTCGTTAAACCTTAGCTTCGAATCGATCGTGTGCGGTATCAAATACCCTCCGCATAGAGATGCGAGCCGCCCACTATCCATCACGCACATAACCATGCGCACTCCTCAGCAGACGCGACGGGTGACAACGAGAACACGCAGCAATCGTCTCTTGACCTCTTTGCCCTCGGACCACGACCGCATACGGACGCATAGGTAAGCTCTCCGGAGAACTCCCACAACAGACACCAAACCATACCCCGGAACAATCAGGCTTTTCTCCGGATAGGTGGAACCCTACAGATCGTAATACCAACAATCAATACGAAACTATAGATTTAAAATTGGCTCACTACTTGACTAGCCTATTGGTCCCAAGCAAACGATTAACGTATCCTATTCTATTCGAAATTCTAGTACTACGCAATGTTTGTTTTGATTCGCTATGAAAGATTGACAGATAAAATGAGGGGTTATTGGTTTTTCATATGTTTCGAGGGGTGAATCGATTAGCTTGGGACCGAAGAGAGTACCAGAGCTGAGCCAAAAAGTTGAGCTCGTTACTTCGGGACCTTCTAGTCTTAGAGTTACCTCTATGGTAATACCATAGAGGTAACTCTAAGACCACTGGGTCCCGAAGAAAATCATTATTATTTTTGGCTCACTCAGTACCAGAACAACGGTCCCAAGCAGTCCCAAGCTATTTCACTCACCCCTGCATGTTCTGCATGAATCCACACACCCCTGATGTTATCTGTCAAACTTTCATAGCGAATCAAAACAAACATAGTGTAGTAATAGAATTTCAACTAGAATAGGGTACGTTAATCGTTTGCTTGGGACCAATAGGCTACTAAAGTGGTGAGCCAATTTAAAATCGTTAGTTTCGTATTGATTGTTGGTAATACCTAGCTCACAGATGGAATTTGCACGTTCTAGAGAATCCGGCCCCACGTAATATTGATGGTGAATAACATTGTTGCAGCGAGTGAAGGATATTACCATAGAGGTAACTCTAAGACCAGAAAGTCCCGAAGAAACGTGCTCAACTTTTTGGCTCAGCTCTGGTACTATCTTCGGTCCCAAGCTAATCGATGCACTCCTCGAAACATAGGAAAATCCACGAGCCCCTCATTCTATCTGTCAAACTTTCATAGCGAATCAAAACAAACATTGTGTAGTAGTAGAATTTTGACTAGAATGGGGTACGTTAATCGATTTGCTTGGGATCAATAGGCTAGTCAAGTAGCGAGCCAATTTAAAATCGATAGTTTCGTATTGATTGTTGATATTACCATAGAGGTAACTCTAAGACCACTGGGTCCCGAAGAAAATCATTATTATTTTTGGCTCACTCAGTACCAGAACAACGGTCCCAAGCAGTCCCAAGCTATTTCACTCACCCCTGCATGTTCTGCATGAATCCACACACCCCTGATGTTATCTGTCAAACTTTCATAGCGAATCAAAACAAACATAGTGTAGTAATAGAATTTCAACTAGAATAGGGTACGTTAATCGTTTCCTTGGGACCAATAGGCTACTAAAGTGGTGAGCCAATTTAAAATCGTTAGTTTCGTATTGATTGTTGATATTACTTTGCACTTTTTGCTGTTCACGCGCATGCCGTTGTCACCGCACCAAACTATCACACAATGTATATCTTCTTGCACTGCGACGCAGTCAGTGGGAGAAACAATCGCACGGAAAATTTTTATATCATCGGCAAAAGAAGGTTTGGATGATGAGAGCATGTCACACAGGTCATTAACATAAAAATAAGAGGACCGAAAACACTGCATTGTGGTACGCCAGATGGTAGGGGAAATGTCTCGAATGTTGGCCTATGGATCTAAGTTTGGGCCCATCGCTAAAAATCTACTATTTATCAATTTTATCTAGATGAACGCGTTATTGGGACGTTACTAATGGATATTTTTGGTTGCTATTGAACATTTAGTCGGTTGCTGAATTAATGTATGGGCCCAAATTAGGGACACTTAGGCCGACATTACCTGCATTTCCCCTATGTTGAAAGTCCTGGAGCGCACGAAATTCACCATCACGAAAGTATTGCGATTAGACAGGTATGAATTGGGCCATTCAGTGATCCATGTCGGAAATCCAATGTGGTTCATTTTGTCAGCGATGAGATTGTGCGGTACTGTATCAAAAGTGAAATCAACATAAACCGAGTCCACTTGTTGCTTCGATTCTAAGTTACGTGATATCGCTGATACATAACATATTTGATGTTGTAGAACGATGCTTCATAAAGCCGTGCTGACTTTTGGAGATGATCGGTGCAGCAGCTCTGTACAAAACTGTGTGAATCAGTTTCTCAAATACCTTACTGACACTAAAAAGTATGGATACACCTCGATAAATGGTGACACACTTGTAGCTATTGGATTTATGGATTGGTACTATGGACGCCGTTTTCCATGAATTTGGGAACGTTCTGTCTTGGAGCGAACGGTTGAAAACAGCAGCGATGGGCGTCGCCAGCGTAGCAACACAGGAGGCAAGCTGTCTGTTCCGGGTCCTTTCATTGAATCAAGCTCATTGAGGGCTTTCTGAACTTCGTCTGGAGAAAACTGTATACACGGTAGAATAATGTTATGGAACGATATCTGCTCGAAACAGTTTTGACGTTGTACGGGCGATGCTTTACTAAGGCTCTGAACCATTTGGTGGATTATTTTAACTTTTGGTTAAAATTTGACAGATGGAAAGTTATCGATTAACCCTGCTATCCGAGCGTGGTTATTTCTGACAGACAAGAAGTTAAATTTTGACGACCGTGGCTCGAAAACCGGTCGATCGACAGCACGGGGATTTTCGAACATAAGAAATAACTTTCGAAATGTCACTTTTAACTACGAGTTAAATTTAACTCGGCAAATGGTTCACAGCCTAAACAGGCTCTCGAAGAAAGTTGCAAAGAGATTGGCTGCTTCTGAGCTTGACCGAGAATTTATTTCATCGAAGTTGACCGAGCCAGGGATTCTGTTTCAAGCTTTCCGTTTCTTGATTGTGTCGTTGTCCCAGAAGCGTGAAGGATTTTGCTTGACGGTTGACTGAATACTGAGCAATTAGTTTTCATGTGTTGCAGAAAGAATGACTTTCTACTCCTACTCAAGCTCACGGAGTCTAGCTTTGTCGGACCCAATTTTTGTAAGGAAATATCGGTTGCGCATCTTACGTTCATTGTTACGAAGGCTACGTAGCTCAGGAGTCCACCACGGTTGCTGATCTGATTGCTGATAGCATCTGATCAACCGTACCATTATTCTATAATTCACTCAATATCCATAAAAAAAAGTTCAACAAGTCAAAGTCGCATGTCGAATAGTCAAATTTAAAACATTGATCATGATCGTCAAGTAGTATTGGTGCGTCACTCTCGTCAAGTAGTAAAATGACTGGTGTGTGATGGTTATCTACAGGTAACAGCGGAGAAGACGGTGCAATCAGGTAAAGGTATTCCGGTAAATTGGTAAATACAAGGTCCAGCAGTCTACCATTTGTGTTGACGAAACTGTTAATCTATTAACAGCTTAAGCCGTTGGCAAACATTGCTTCTGTAAAGTTCATCTCAGTATCAGTAGAGACATTCGAAGGAATGAATCCATTAATGTCCTCGTCAAGATGCTATCACAAATTAGGAAGATTGAAATCACCACCGAGAAGATTATGTCAGGCTCCGATAGACGATCTGCAACAAGTTGTACTGCATTAGCATGAGCAATGAGCAGTATATAACTCGGTACTCGAATTAGGTGGGAGGTAGATAGCAACTACGTAAAGCGAACGAAGTTGTGACTTTATGCAAACTGCGATTTGTTCAAGTTCATTAAATTTATGCCATCGAAACAAATTCACACTCCATTGTGTTCTTAATCGCAATCAGCACTCCACCACCCCAAATACCAACCAAATATGGGACGAAATGCCTATGCAAGTAGTGCAGTTGAAGGCAGGGTAACTCCAGAACATATGCTGTAATTGATCGAAATTATGTTGCCTTTCTGTTAATATGCTATTTCTAATAAAATCTAAATTACTGATGCCACAAAAAAAAAAAAAAACAATTCAAATTTGTATGAAAAGACATTGAACACGGTGTAGCTGAGAGCCGGCAAAACGCTCACTTTAAGGTTTGTTTTTCCCAATTTATATTACCTATGGTGTTTGAACACGCGATGATGTTTTCGGACAGAAGAAACGTACATAGTTGTATATGCATAATCAATAAATGTATTCACTTATAGCAGTAGTTCGTTACATTCTTAGCTTACAGTCGTACACATTCAACCCCTTTGAGATTAGACTGTGTACGTAAGCAATAATAGCTGTTTATTCGCTAAAAACATAAATAGTACTCAGTTAGTGACATATACATCGTAATAGAGTTTCGCTCAACAGTAATTATGTGTGCTATTCTAAAAGTGACACAATTATGTGAGGGCATAAATATCGAAAATAAGAATTATTTCTTACGCAGGCGTTTAAATGTGTATGTTTTTTGCTTTTCCTGATTTATAAATATAGTATGTGGCTAAACTCGTAATGATTAAAATAATATATTTTACTCCTTTACATCGCTCGCTCAAACGCGAAACAATCACATTTTGTTAGATCCAGCCTAAATACCTGTTTACACGCTGTAGTTTTCATCAAGATAAAAATATTGAAATTGTTTATGTTATTAAAAAAACCGAACAGGTACAGTAAAACTTTCAGAAAAGTAATGAAAAGCATACATCTTTGCTGTACTATTTACACTCTTAATTTACTTATGTAAGGTTTGTAATCCTTATTTACTTATCTTCCCTAAAATAGTAGTTCTACTTGATCACAATATTTTTTTCAGTAAAATTTTAAAAACTTTCGTTTGGTCTCAGATGATTTCCTTGTGGAGAATTGGATACTTGTTGCTCAGATATTCGAGATAGAGATACGAGGCCTATTTCTTCATTAGCGATTTCACCTTTTTGACGTATCTATTGATAAAAGGCGTGTTCGTCTTCTTGGCCGTCGAAGTTGTATCACTGGCCGAGGCGAACGAGTTCAGAGACGAGTTTGTCGATAGCACGTCGTCTTCAGGCGATGTTTTATCCTCGCTTTGAGGCTCCGCACGCGGAGTGCTATCCACGGTGATGGTTTCGTTCTCACAGGGTTGTTCGCCGCATGATTCAGGAGAGGCTGTATCCACGCGAGGATCCGGTATGTCTTCAGGTTCGACGGCAGGTTCGACGAATCGACGATTAAGGCATATGTTACCCAACACGTTTACCGGAGACTGTGGTTCGCTAGGGGGCGCCTCGGATGCGAGGTTCTCCATGCTTTGTGTATTTTCGAGAAAGTCCGTCAGATTACGATCGTCATCGAACAAGTCATCCATGCTGCGAGATCGTCGGTTTTTGGCTTTTATAGACTCTTCGGTTGATTTGACCGGTTCGGGCGTACTTTCGGCAGATTTTGAGGCAGCGGTTTTTGAATCTACGTGATCTTGTCCTTCAGTGGGTTGTTTGTTGTCATCCCTGAGCAGTCCCTCGCAGCTGTGATAGCGATTCTCGGTTTTCGGAGGCAGTGGTGGTCTCTGCGAAGCTGCATTCAAGCCAGCCGCAGAACTTCTTCGAATTTCGGAGGACCGAATATTTCTCGCCATATTGCTGTTGCCACCGAATGCTGATGGTTTGGCGTTCGGAAAGCGTGAGGATCGACCAGTTGTAGCGTAGTTTCCAGCCCCGGTAAGCCATTGACGGGCCGGGCTAGAGGACTTGCGATAGCGGTTCGCCAAGCTGGAATAGTAGCGAGGATGGTTGAGCGAACTGTTCGAACCACCATTCGGTTGTTGGGACTGCGATTGGCCAGTGGAAGAACCCACTGAAGGAGTATCTAGTCATTCGTAGTTACGATTTTCTTTGTCGCTGCTCTTGCCGGATTCATTGCTGTGCATACGTTGATACATGGTTGGCGTTGTGGGCGTTGAATCACCGGCCGGTCGGTTCAGCAGGTTGCGGAAGTGATCCGTCGAACTGCAACGGGTGTTGGATTCAGCGCGCATGAACCTGCGATCGAAAACAAAAAGAAAATTTATGACATTGTTAAATGATTTATTCGGATCAACTATGCTGTATCGTAATATGTATTTATCAATACAATAGGCCATTCCCAACAAACAATTTCGGCTGATTAAAAGTTCAATAAGCATATTTTTAGCCAATTTGTGCCTGAATAAGCTCTTATTCAGCTTTAAATGTTTGTTGGGTTATACTCGGATAGGATGTGTAATATATATAAATTGGCTTTAACATAAGGGCAATTGAACACAATTCTGAGAGCCATTAGGAGAGTTAACCTTTTTGAATATGCTCGGAAAGCGAATGTACGAATTTAAGGACAATATCAATGATACTAGTGAGTGGTCAGTGCATTTGCTTCAAAAAGAATTCAAGCTCCAATCCTGGCTGTGAGAATAAATCTATTGTTTTAAACACCTTGCAGATAGATCTTAGTTTAGGTGAATCGAAAATCAAAGGACACTCGCCTCTCAGATGCTCAAGCACCACTCACGGTGGGAACTCATCACGCTTACTGCAGGGCTCATCGTTGATCCAACGGTGGGTGTCCCACTAGCTTTTAGCTTTTATACCTTCAAAGCAAACCAAACATCGGCGTACCTTTCTCGCGCACCGGAATACACTGAACATATACAAATATAGATGAGATCAGCGAAATGCTTTTTGACGAGAGCTGACGGCAGTACTAGTGATGAGTAGTTTGTTAGCGCAAGTTTAAACTGGTAGCAGTATTTGGTAGTATAAAAACGCACATACACACACAGTGGGTAATTTGAACGCTTGTTTCTTTCATCGTGAGATCTTGCTTTTCCGACTTTTTTTTCTTTTAAACGGGAAGAATGGGTGATTCAAATTTTCTAATTGCTCGATCTTTGCGACGATACGCTAGAGCGACCGTTACGGTTAGTGATCATATTCCGTATGTACCTGCGGGTGAGGAAGAAAAATGCGAAGAATCGGTTCAGAGGAACTGTTTTGTGTCCATAGCGGATTAGGAAGGAGACACTCGAAAATGATTACTCACAATCAAGCGATTGAAATAATTCTTGGAATCGTGTTAAGTTTAGGTTGTAGATGGTTAACTGAAGTGCTCGCAATGGCGGGTGCTTTAACGAAACGAAAAAAAAAAAACTGCATGCTTGCTTCGAATAACTACTGACAACCTAGGAAGCAATAGGAAACCCAATTCGAACAAAAGCGTGAAAAATTTCAACAAAGAAAACCAACACAAATGGATGAATTCCAAGTTGCTAAAACGTAAGTAATCCGTAGGATGTTTTCCTTTGTTCTTACCTTTCCAGTTTGTCCACGCACGCATCCTGGTAGTCGTGGATCCATCTGACCCCGTTGAAGTGACAAACTCCTCGCATATCTTCCGGCAGGCGCTCCGGTTCAGGCCACTGGAAGTTGTCGATGATTGGGATGATGTTGCAGTCGGAGTTGAGGGCCGCAACGATTTCCTGCACAAGGTAAGAAATTGTTGTTTATGACAATTTTGTTAAATTACAATTATGGAAACTGTATGAGACCTTAGATCTCACTCTTCTTACGCAATCAGAGAGAAAAAATTGGAGTTTGACTGAGAAACAACTGGTGAAGATGGCCACAACACCTATAAGAATGAATTTGAATTGATAATTTTACAATGTTTCTGAAATTTGAGACCTTGGAAATCTAAAATTTTTCATTTTTTATTGAAAAATTAAAATGTTTATCTTTGTTCTTTAAATTTCAGAATTAAAGATTAAAAATGCTGTTTGTTTTATTTTCAAAATTAGTAATACTTAATTAATTATTCGAAACTGGAAACACTAACTAACGAATATATTTTTTTTAAATTAACTAAATAAAAATGAAATGTTTAGGCTTAGACTAGTTCATCTCAGTATTCAAGAATTTCAAAGAAGTAGAAATCTGCTTTGAAAAATCATTTTACTGTTCTAGAAGCATGAAAAAAATCGATGTCCGGTACCTCGCATATTTCTTCTGAAGTTCCGGAAATCGCAGATTTGTACATGCCAAAATCTAAAAAATAATAATCCATAGTTAAAAATATAATTTGAGTTCATTTCGATGATTTTCTATGTGTCAGAAACCTAAAAAATCAAATTCCTACTTTTTAAATATTTCTATTAGTTTTGAACCTTCTAACATTCTCATGTTCCAGAATCTTGTAAATTGATCCATATTTTGGATATCTCACTTTTCAGTCGAACGTAAAAAAAAAAAATCGAAATTCCAGAAGCTTGACGACTTTTCTTAATATCCGATCTATAATTTTTCCTTATTCCAAATATTTTCTCTGTCTGCTGATTATTAATAATAATTCCCACGGAACTCTTCACAGACTTTGTTTTTGAAAGTTAGTCGAGAATTTCTTATGAATTTGCATCTAATACTTCAGAGGTCCCAAAACGATCTTTGACGAAATTCGGAGATGGTTCTTATGAAATTTTTCACTAAATTCCTAAACAATAATCTTTGAAGAGCAACACTATTGGAGTTCACTTGCAATTCTCCAACATTTTTCAATCAATTTCACAGAATTACCTTCTCTTAAGCATTGTCTGCTCCCAGAAATTCCTTAGGTTACCTCGGAACTCTTCTTCGAATTAAATAGAAATTCTCCTTGGAATTACGATGAATACACCTCAGAAGTTCCTGCAACGCCTCCTTAAAATTCTCCATGGAATACCTTGGAGTACTCCTTACAATTCCTATCAATTAATCCTCCGAATTTTCGTTGATTTGTCTTGAGAATTTTTTAGAAATTCTCCTTAGTGTTCCCATGGAATCCTACTCATATTGAATACTCTTTAGGATTCACTTTTAGTTCTCCTTACAAATCCCTGAGAACTCTTGTCAGAATAATCTTGGAGCTCTAGTCAGAACTCTCTTACAATTCTCCCCAGAACTGATATGGAGTTCTGCTAAAGAATTCCTTTGAAATTCATTTTTAAATTCACTTGGAGATCTCCTCACAATTCTCTTGAAATTTTCCATAAAATTCCCCAAGTGTTGTCTCGAAATTCCCAATGATTTATGCTTCGAATTATCTTTAAACTCTCCTCAAGTCCTAAGAATGCTCCCAGAAATCGATTTAAATTCTCCTCAGAATTCCCAACGAATTCTTATCGGAAGTATTTTTAATCCGGGGATTTGATTTTGGCTCGCATGCTTGGCATACACAGTTTTGGTCACGAACTGCTCATTTGCTAATAACTTTGCACACAGTTGACAAAACATAGTTCTTTTTGAAGCAGTAGGTAGAATAGAGTTTAAGCTTGTTATAGATACTTAAAAAAAAGTAGATTTTAATTCTAGTAATACATTGTATTTGTTTTTGCGTTGTAAAAATGAAGTGAGAAATGCTCGCTGCACGTCTCGGACTTAAAGCGTAAAAAATCATTGGTGTTGATTCAAATGTTAAGATTTACCTACTATTTGCATATCTATAGTAAGCTATGATTGTAATCTATCAATTACTTTAAAGAAAAAAAAATTTCAATAAATGAGTGAAAATTTATTAACAAATGAGCAGTTGGTGTGTACAACTGTGCATGCCAAGCATGCCTACTCGTCATATTGCCGTTATTCGTATAACAGTTCCATCTAAATCAGAATTCCATTGGACATACACACTTAGATTTTTTTTGCCGAGATGGGCACCACCGAGCAGCTCGGCATTTTATTTTACTGGATCTCAGTGAATAATTTGCCTAGATTCAGCAAAATTTATGTTTTTTATCTGAGATTTCGGCAAAATTCCCGTTTGTTAGCTGAATCTCGGCAAGTTTTCCACTGAGATCCAACAAAATAAAATGCCGAGTTGCTCGGTGGTGCCCATCTCGGCAAAACAATATAAGTGTGTAGAACTCTATAACTTATATGAATAGCGGCAGTAGAGGTACCCGTAATGCTCCCGTGTACTAAATAGTATTTGAGGATTTTTTATGAAGCATTTCTGCTTTCAAAAGTATTTGCCTCGGTATCATTTTCCGAAAATTTGCTTGAATCGGGTCCTACAGTTTTTTTTACCGAGCTCGGATGTGCAAATCTCGGCAAAAAAAGCTTAACTGAGATCTCAGCAAACATTTCATTTGTTTGCTGAGACTCAGCAATCAAATGTCACTTTTGCTGAGATCTCAGTGAAACTGTGAATTTGCACAGCCGAGCTCGGTAGAAAAACTAAGTGTCTATATATTCCATTAAATTCTTTTCAGGATTCCCTTAGCATTCTACTCCAAACCGTTACCGTTGAACCCTTCTTAGAATTCATTTGAAGTTAATTCTTTTCACATATCAGAATACTCTCAGAATATCATCAGATCTCGCTTAGAATTCATCCCACAACTGTCTTGGAATTTTCCTCAAATTTCACTTGGAATTCTCCGTAGAGTTCACCTGGTTTCCGGAGGTCCTTAGAATTACCTTGAAGTTTTACTCAGAACTACAATTGAAGTAATTCTTATTTCTCTTCGCAATTCCCTTGGATTTCTTCTCCTAACTACCATGGAATTTTAGTCAGAATTCCCTTGTGTGAATGTTTTTTTTTTAATTTTCCCCAACATTCCTTAGAAATTATTATCAAAATTCTCTTAAAAGCTTTAATAGCAATTGTTTTTGTTCACCTGAAAGTTCCATCCTTTTAACTAGTCGAAATCCTACGTTAAGCGGCCGGCATGTAAATACTCACCCTGTGAACCCAATCCTTGCCATCGACGTCATCGACGCACCGTTCCAGAGCATTTTGTGTCAACACCAGCAGAAAGTGCTTCGCATGGCGGATGCTTTGCAGCAGGTTGTTATCGAACTTGCCGGCTTCGAGCCGTTCCACGTCGATGAACACGGAGAAACCTCTCAGCTCGAGATGGACCTTCAGCAAACTGGCCAACTGGGAACCGTTGCTTCTCCGATAGCTGACGAACACGTCCAGGCTCTTTTCGGCGCTTTTCTCCAACGTCAGCGAAGAAGTCTCGTTGTTCTTGATGGCGTTGAAAATTCGTGCCCTGTGGATGGAATTGGAAATTCCGCATTCGGTTATCAGCTGGTCGTCATCCAAATTTCTTATAGACTCCAGATCGACTCCGGCATTCAGCATGGAATAGGTGTAGATGGTGTACTCGGGAGCAATTTTGTACAGCAGCATATGCAAATTGTCGGGATCTCGAGAGCTGTAGTCTGCCATTCTCTTTAGATTTTGCAGTTCACGTTCGAACCGCTTCCGTCTGATACCATTTGTGATGCCAATATCTTCCCGAAGGTTGTTTTCGGTCAACTGCAGTAAGAGGTCGCCATCGACTTTGGAGTCAAAAAAGTTGTGCTCATATTCGGAGAATCCGATTTGTTTAACCCATTCCCGTACGTCCTCGGAGCACCACAGGGGCACCTGTTGAGACAGTTTGTGCGGTACTTCTTCACCGATTAGCCGCAGCGCTTGAGCTGCAAACTTTGAGGCGATGGCGTTCGGCGAACTTGCAACTCTGATGAGCGGCTCGATAGCACCAATTTCTTTGAAAATATTCGTATTGCCTTGTTCCTTTTTGATTCCTGCTTCCATGCAGAAATGGAATGCTGCTAGGTTTCGTGCTTCTTCTCGTTTCGAGCTTAATACGGGAACCAGTTTCTGCAACCAGTGCTTGCTTTGACCGTGGGCATGTGCCAAATTAGATTTAGCGAATTCGGACGGGTTGTGCGACGTAACGAAGGGTTCCACAAGGTTTAGCGTCCCGGACTTGATCACTTCGGCTTCGATTTCTTTATTCGCTACCAGCACAACAATCGCAAGACAAGCGTAGTATTTTATATTTTCGTCGTGGTGGAAAGCAAGTGGGAATAGCCAAGAGGGCACTTTTCGATTGATCATAGCCTCTTGATTTTCTGCACCACCATAGAGAGACAGGTTGGCCAAGGCTCCGGCACAGTGTCTCAACGTTTCCACGTCGTTTTTCCTGCATTCGAATAGGACTGCATCCAGACCTCCCAATCGAATCACATTGGAACATGTATCCTCGCTATGTTTGAACAGATGTTGCAGGATTCCTGTGCCAACCCGTGAATGGTCCGTTCCGCTGTTTTTAGTACATACACATGCCACATTTACCACCTTGTCGAGACCATTTTTAACCACGTGCGATCGATTTTCCGTAGTGAGGCATTGTTCCAACAGTTTCGCCGATGAAAATTGTACCGCTGAATCGTTGTCAACGCAGTTCTTCATGAGTAAATCCAATCCTCCAGTTTTTCGTAATGTATCACAGAGGCTTGCCCCCAGCTCATGACCATGAGTTGGAACAGCCCAGGCTCGTTGTATGATTTCGTTCATTTCGTTCAAAAGACTTGGCGCCATTTGTATCTGCTCATGTTGCTGTAGATTCTTGACGTAATCCGTCAAATGATTCGAATACTTGTGTATAACATTCTCAATATCCATCGGATTGCTGGCAAGACATTCCAAATCTTCGAAACTGGGGAAGCTTCCGTTCATGGTACCGTTCATGGACGAGGTATGGGTGCTCATCTGCGAGGAAGAACTGACCATACTGTGGGAGGAGAAGTTCGATTGAGTTGCTGCCGATACGCTTGTTTCTTGGTTGAACACTCCTGAAGCTGTCACCGTTTGTCGCTGCTGTGCCTGCGCGATGGCTTTCTTCTCCGAACTGCAATTAGATAATAACGCAGATGATGCGAGCAAAACAGAACCGTTAGAAAGACGTTATCTCAAATGCTGTGAGTGTGGATAAAATACCAACCTGAAATGATCACTCGACACTTTCACACTGTGCGCTGCAATATTATTCGCTTCGGCCTGCTGGAAATCGCCCATCTTCAGGGATCGTGCTTCCTAGAAAGATAAGCACATGGCAAATATTAGTTTTGTCGCGCTGCTCGGAAGGGTGCAATACATATTACTAGTCATGGCGATATTCTACTATCGTCGTGTGATGCCCATTGATACGTCGGCACCCGAATGGCAATCGTTTAGCTCGGTAAGTAGCTCGTGTCGAGTATGCACAGTGCTCTGTTTACTACTGTAGAGGATTATCAATAAACATGAACTTTGTTGGGTCTGGGTGTGCATGGGCATTGTAGGTATAGTTGGTTGCTGAGTTGCACAGTCTGGTGTAAGTTTTGCCGATTCATCAGTTTTTGACTCCTTCAGGGTTAAGGGGTTGAGTGAAATGTAATTTCAATGCAAATGTGTTTTTTGGAACTTTAAGTTTTCCTTTACAGTCAAATCTCGTTCTTGGCAACACGTAGTTTTTTCGTGTTTTGTGTCCAAAAAAGTTTATTTTATGCAAATCTTCAGGTCGGTTTCCTGTAAACCGTTTCTTTGACATTCCAAATGCATACACAAATAAGAAACGTTTGCGACATTTTATACCTAATTATTTATTCAAGTGATAAAAATTGGTTTCAAATTTGAATATGTTGACAGACGATTTAATTCAGATCTGTAGCCTCAAAAAACTTCTGATCGATTATCTTAAAAAAAAATGGTGGTTGTAGGATGATTCTACAAAAATCGTTTAAAAATGTTATCATAATCTTATTAGATGTCGGTCGGTTATGGACCGGGATGAAAGGCTTTAGTTCCCTTCCGAATGAAGACGTGACAAGAGATTTTTTCGTCACAGAAAAATATCAACGATCTTGGCTGCGGTTGATTCCAGACACACTGCAGTGAGATAGCACGCTTGCCACTTAACCACCTTAGGAGAGTTCAATGATTGAGTTTTGAAATGATTTTCCTAATACCAGAATACGCTTGGCATAGGTTTTTTTATATTTTTTTTTATTCTTTATTTGAGAGCGCTTGCCATATCGAAAGAATTTAAACAACGAATTGAATGACTCTACTACATACATAGACGTAACTAGGATGTTGGGGAGTATGACACATAAACAATCGGTACCATAGGAAGAGATATTACTTTATCCTGTTACTTTACTCATTTACTGGTAAAAGTTTTACCAACAATTTATCGATGCAATTTTCATGGGAAACATTTCTATATGTTAGTTTTTTTTTTCGGGAATTCTACGAAAATTTCAATATTATTTGGTGCAAAATCATTTATTCAAAGATGACTTTTTTATGAGTAATGAATTTTCAAAATGTGGGATGATCAGGTTTATTGATAAATTCAAATGAAAGTTATTGTGAAATAAGGCATCTCTTTCTATTTCTCAATATTATTTTTCCACAAACCTTTCACGTGCACATTTTAATAGATTTTTGATATCTTTCTGCCAATCAGGTTTGTGACAAAACACAAATTTAATTCCGAAATAAAATTATTTATGATTAATTCCGAAAAGTTATGTAAAATGTAGATGATTTCCGATTTTATACAATTTTCAATTGATTTTTTGGAATCTTCCATTAATGACCCAAAGAATGGTGGTAAAAAAGAATAAAATGTTTGGTTATATTTACTACAATAGAGAAAACCCTACTCTAAAAAGTAAATGAATGAACTACTTCTACTATTAACTATAATTTTGTAAACGGAATGCGATTGAGCCGAACGGATCAATAGGTTAAATGAGTTATTACTAATGATGTTTTTCGTTCATCAAATTTGTCTACCTATACTCTCAAACATTTCCTTTAAAATCAGTTTGCTTCACAAAGTTCTTCTCAGAATTATTCTTCTAAAATAAATTTGAGGTTCCCTCTGGAAACCCTTTAAAAATTTCTTCATACCCATCCAAAAATTCTCTGAAGAACACACATTGATTCACTATGAAAGTTTGACAGATAAAATGAGGGGTTCGTGGATTTTCCTATGTTTCGAGGAGTGCATCGATTAGCTAGGGACCGAAGAGAGTACCAGAGCTGAGTCAAAAAGTTGAGCACAGTCACGTCTTCCTTCGGAAGGGAAGTAAAGCCGTTGGTCCCGGCCCATGTGTGTTGAATGGGTGCGATATCATACGCAGGTGTGGAAGCTGCCTTCCTGCACATTCGATTACCGTCAATGGATGGTAATCGATGTCCGTCTCCTGGTTTTAAAAACCATGTATTAAAAACCAATTTTTAATAAAAAAAATTAAAGTGAATCCTTGTGCCATCATTCTTCGCGCAATGCGGAATTTCACAAACCAAAATAGGTATTAAGGTTCTTGTGAATGCCCGTGAAATCTTTATCTGGTTGTTTGCTGTAAAGAAGCTAGTAGGGAGCCGCGCTACTTCGTCGTATCATGGCGCGCCTATTTCCGTTATATGTGCTAAAACTATAATAGCAAAGCGTTTTCACTCATGTTTTTGCAAAAACATCATTGCTTACAAGATTAATTACGATTGACACTGAAACATTTGCGACAACCCGTAAAATGAGCGATTTCAGGGGTGTATGACGAAGAAAAGCTGAGATACGACGGACTAGCGACGAAGCCATATCTAATGTATGAAATTTAGATATCTATAAGCCCCTAAACCTTGAGATTTCTGTTTTTGAAACTGTGATTTTTTTAAATTTATTATTGAGAGTTTTAGCCAACGGGCTAGTTTATCTCAAGGTGAAATTGCGAAGTGTGATATGAATGAGGACTCTTTAAACAAACCTTTGCTTCTAACAATTTTACGGATTTCCAGTTTGTTTAAATTTTCCGCAAATTGTCAACGATTAAGGATCTTATTTAGCGGAATTTTGATTACAACATGATTTCAAAATCATATGATTAAAAGATTTCATAAACAACGCTGGTTTAATGACTCTTATTATTAAAAAGACTGACTGCTGAAGTTCATAGAAACTCCCTAAAGTTCGTAGAACTTCCTTGAAGCGTCTTTCCTGAAGGGTTCATTGAAGTTTGTATTGCCTGAATTTCATGGGACTTCCCCGAAGTTCGAAGGATTTTTTTTTTAAGATCTTAGGACTTCCCTGAAGTTCGGAGTTTTTTGAAATTAATAGGAATTTCTTAAATATCGTAGAAGTACCACGAACTTCGTAGAAATTTCTCGAACATCTGAGGACTTCCCTGAAGTTTGAAGGACTTAACTGAATATATGAGGACCCTAAGTTCAGAAGAGCTTCCCTGAAGTTCACAAGGCTTTAAATATTAAAGGGTTTTCCAAAAGTTTGTGGGTCTTTCCTTAATTTCTTGGAAATTCCCTGAAGTTTGGAGAGCTCACATGAATTTCGTAGGACTACCTGTAGTTCAATCGACTTCTCGGAAGTTCTAGGAACTTTTTTGAGCTTAGAGAACTATGTTAAGTTCAGAGGACTTCCCAAGAGTATTGAAGACTTCTCTGAAGCTCGGAAACATCCATAAGTGTCATAGGATTATCCTTAAGTTTTAAGCAATGCCTAAATGTCGTAGAAGTTTAATGTAACTTCTGTAGAAAATTCTGTAAAATTTGTAGTTATTCCCCAAAGATTAAAGGACTTCCGTGAAGTTCACAAGACTTCTCTGACATTTGTAGAACTTTTCTGAAGGTTCGGAGAGATTTCCTGACCGTCGTAGGTCATCACAGTAGTTCACAGGATTTTCCTGAAACTTTTAAGACTTTCCCGAATTTTGTAGAACTTGCATGAAGTTCGAAAGCCTTATCTGAAGTTTTTAGAAATAGAACTTTTTTATTGAACATGTTGAAGAGGTACTTCAAATCAGTTACGCGTCGGCACTACTGAAGTCTACTATCAATTAAGCACAAATCATACATGCAATTGATTCGAGAAAAAAATTAAATTAAAAATAAATACAAAAGATATTTACTAAATTTTCAGGGTAAATTTTGTTCATCAATGTTTAGTTGTGTGAAAGATTTAGCTTGAACAAAATAGTTAGTTTTGACCTGAATATAAAAAGAATCTTTGACATACATAAAATTTAAAACCTATTTAAATTATACAAACAAGATTATTTTCCTGGTGGACTTATGAAATTCCTGGTTTTTTCCCGAGGAAAACCTGGTGAAAATAAATTCCCGACTTTTTCTCGGTTTTCCTGGTTTCCCTGGTTCACTTACCACCCTGCAAATTGCACAGCAGGGACCGTCAAATGCAATCGAATTCAGTTGATGCCGAGCGATTTGATCTTTCTGGGAACACAAGAAGACTCTGCGGATGTAATTGGCAGATGTATGAACCTCATTGGATACCGGGTGTGAATTCGAGCGGCAATAATTATGCATTAAAGCGCGCATTATTATGGAAGTAAATAAATAAATAAAAATGTTTTAGTTAATGTTTCCGCCATTTCAATGAAATATGTGACAAATCAGAAAAAAATAAAATAAATCTTTCTTTTTCAGATAATGGGTAAAAACTACCCGATTAAATCATCGGGTAGTTTTTACCCGTACAAGCTCTTTACCCATTATTGGGTAGAGACGTTTTACCCATTTTATGAGTTTACCTAGTTAAGTTCGAAATTGGTACTTTTTCACTTACTTTTGTCACAGTTTCGTAAATAATTTGACAGTGAACATTAAACTGATGCAAAATTTGAAATTTTCGCTCCACAGTGCTCAAATGGTTCCAAATCGGGTCGTGATTAGCCTTCTAAAATTTGAGCTCATTTGGTTAGAAACTGACTTGGCACAAACTAAATATTTGAAGTTTGAATGGAAATTGCTATGGGAAAACCAAACGTTTTATTCATTGACTTCTATCCTTTCTCCATATTTCACATTTTATCCAAAAGTGATCTTTGGAAAGTTTAGCTGAGAAAAATTTCTGCAAGCACAGCTATCACTTTTTATAGCAGAACGATACGGTGAATTGGTAGATATATATGAACAAAAAAAATGGTTTTCCCATAGTAATTTCCATATAAACTTCAAATGGTTTGTGCCAAGTCAGTTTCTTGGAAGGCTAATTAGGACCTAATTTTAGA